CACCCACCAGAAGCTGTAGCCTGGGCAATGTTCTTCTCTGTGACTCAATAAACAACACCGCCTACTCTGCAAAACAAAAGTTACCAAGATATTTCCCAAAGCAGTTAGTTTAAGCTCTGTTTATTTTATCAAGCTTTCTGATAGCCATTAAATAAATGCATTTTGCAATAAGTAGGATTTTCAAAAGCATTTAAAGTACATAGGGAGCGTAAGACTCTCAATCCCACCTTGCCTAGACTTTTCTTTGTCCAGGATCTGCTTAGTTATGATGCTTTAAAGAAAGAGAAAATGAAAGAGGTCTGTTTCTTTCATAGTTTAAGTTCTAGTCCTCCATATAAAATTCTGAATAAAATCTGTTCCCAAGGGGTTTATAGCAAACCCAAGGGGTTTATAGGAAAGCCCTGTTGGGAGACATTTACTTGTAACTTCCTTTCCCAAGTACAGCAATGCTAACAGACAGCATTAACATAATTCAGAATTTCACATACGATATGATGTATTAGCTGATGGTATTTGAACTGCTCTCAAATGCTGCCTGAGCTTGTAGGTGCTGCCTTGAAGCATCAACACCAGCTCTGTCAGGTGCCAATAAATCCACTGCTGCTGTATTCAGGAGCAGTTATCTCTTGCTGTTAAGGCTGCTCCATACTGTATTCGCTGCCTGAGACCTTCTCATACAAAACACTTGAATCAATGCCCTTTATCTCCCTCCTTCCTGGTATTTAAATAAGGCACTATTTCTCCCTAATCTGCATCCTTCTGATGTAAAAAAAACCCAACTGTGTAACCATCGGCTATTTCTTGTGGTAGCACTGCTTTTTCAAACATTATTTTCCACAGTAGATATGTGCAGGTTGTCATTTTCACAAGGAAATGGCACATTCCAAGAGCCAAATCACACTGGTGGTTTGTTCCATCTACCTGTCTCTTCATCTTTTTGTGAGTCCCCAGCATCTCTGATATTGGTTTCCAACGATATGATCATATTGGGTTTATGAACCCCAAGGCTGAATGAATTGTAAGTACTGAAAAAAATCTGTTTCATTTGTTCTGTTCTCTAACTTGCTAATGCTAAAGATGATTCAGAGTTTAACTTCACGTATTTTTAATATTCTGTTTCTTATTTTGACATTCCCACCAACCTGTAAGATTGACAGTCAGGGTAACAAATATTTGTACAGCTCAGCTGTACTTCACTGCAAACTACTTAAATACATGCCCAATAAACTGTAGTCTGCGGCAAACCAGAATGTATTTAGTTTGTAGACAGAATTTCCTCAAAGATTTATCAGCAATCTAAGTTGTAAATACACTTTATAGATTCAGCAGAAAGCACTGTTATTCGGGTAGCATTGGAGGCTCAAAGAACCACCTGCCGGCATAAGCTGGCAAGCAAAGGACTGGGGAAAAGCTGACCTTGTAGCAAAGAAAGTGCTACTTGCCTTGAACCCAATTTAGTGATAGCATAGAGTAGGTGAGGCAGTTCTGAAGACCACAAGGAGGAGGGAATGAGAGTTAGGGTCAGCCGTCGGTGGCAGATAGGATGGAGTCCCTGATCAAATATATGAAATGAGTTCTGCGGAGCACCCAGGAGCTCCTGGGGGTTCAGCCTCCTGGGCTCAGGGCCAGCTTCGAGACAGTGCAGCTGGTGGCCTCGAGAGAAAGAGAAGAGACCTCCGCCAAGGGCTGTCCTGCTTCCCAGGCAGCTGCTTTTAAGCTGAGGCTCTCGCCCGTGGTTCCTGCCTGAAGTGCGCTGCAGCTGTGTCACAGCTACGCCTGCGCCTGGCCATGGACCCATTTATCTGGACCCCAATCCTGACCCTGTGGACTGAGCTTGTCCCTGCATGTCAGTGGGGATGTGCCTGGCAATGGGGACTCTGGGCCCCCCCGCTGCCCCCCCCCCGCCTGCCCTGCTGGCCCCGTGGGGAGACCCTCACTCCTCAGGCCACGATCCCCAGGGAACAGCCTTCCCTGACAGGGATGGAGAGTGACTGATGGGTGTGAAATGGAGTAGAGAAAATAGAAAAGAAGGTCCTGGGCCCAGTATCATCCAGACAGTGCTCTAGGATGCAAGGAACGGAAGTATCCAGGGGCATAAGATGCATAAGATCTGATCAAATCTCACTTTTCTAATCCGGAGTAGGCAGAGGGTTAATCTGATGCAGCCTTTAGCTGCTGACAATCAAGTCACACCTCAGGGGACATAGTACATCACTCCGTCCCTGCTTTTCCTTTGAACTGGTGTGGCAAGATGGAACTGCTATTCAACCTTACCTAGGAGTATCAATATCGAGCATCACAAGGGATTCCCTTGCCCTCTTCCTTTTAAAAGCCAGCTGGTGAGTGGACTGAAAATCTTCCCTTAATTGTCTGGACGGACTGCCGAACAGCAGCACTCCGCTGCTGGTGTGCGATAAATGGAGCTAGATTATTTTTTCAGCCTGTCTCAACAAATCTATACCTGTCTTGCTTTAGGAAGCCAGCAATTTCCCTGCTACCAGCTTGGACTCTTTTGCTTGTCTCTGCTTCATTAATCCATTTTCATGTATTTTAATGTAACACCTTATGAATCTCTGTCCTTTTTCCTTCAAAATGCAGATAAAATTGAAACTTGCCCCTTTATTGTCAAGCTGGAGCTGGGTAACGCTGTTCTGGTCATTCTATGATAATATCTTTAGGACGAATCTTCAGGACTACACAAATAATTTAATCAAACTCCACATTTCATCTAAGTTAAGCCAGGTTTATTTGGTTGTTTTTTCTTTTCAGATCAATATACATATAAACGAGTTTATGTACAAAGCAGTTTGTTCCACTGAACTGTTATCCAACGCTGAAGGCATGTCTGCCACCAATAAAGTTTATTCTGGAGGTGCAGTCTGCTTGTAAACATGTATTTGTAGATGAATACATGTCCCCTGCATTCTTAGGGAGGTTTTTGGCAAGGCCTTTTTGACATGAACAGCTTATGACCAGCTCTGCCTAATGCCAACCTCTCACATGCAAAGACAAAAGCCTTTTTCCGCCTGCCGATGCCTTCCAGAGCCTGCGACCCTGCTGTGCCGACGGGCTTTCACTTTTTAGTGTTGACTACGATGCTCAAGTGCTGCACTCCAGATTTCAGACCTCTGCAGCAAGACGGCTTCCTTCCACGGCGGCAGCAAGATGAGGCAATCATTTCCCCTCTTCGCCTTCACATATTCTTGCCATCAAGAATAAGACTCAAGTTTTGCCCATTTACCTTCTGCCGACTGTGGCTTTTCTTCCCAAGCTAAAGTGGCTGCTGCAGCTGCAGCAGTGACTGGTGTGCTTGACTCCCACTTAAAATCAACAAAGCACTTTCTATTTGGTTTGAAAATGACTTGGTTTCTGCCGTGATGCTCTCCAGCAGTTCTGGGAAGGGTTGCTGTCTGCCACACCGTCCAGACTGTGCATGGCTTGAAGCTGCCTGCAAGATTTATTTCTGTGTCTGGAAGCAGTCTCTCCCTGCGGTGTCCCAGTCACAATCTGGGCTGTTTTAGTAGGATCTCTGTCCCCCACCCCTAGTTGCAAAATGGCTCTTCTGCCTTAGATCAGTCGCAAGCATTGCTCTCTCTCATACTGCTTTGTTTCCACTCAGTGCCATTTCTTAACATGTTTTTTCTCCTGTCCCAGAGTTCAGTCAAAGCCATGGAATAAAACAGAAATCTGTTTCACTCAGCGTGTGATTTTTTAATTGATTTTTAACGTCTCTTTTTCTGAAACAAATTAATAAAAACAACTCTCTCAAGGAACATGATCTACAGAAGTACTCTAGCCTTCAATAAAAGACAAGCACCCGAATGCAAGAGCAAGCGTTCAAAATTCAGACCTGACAGCCTGATAATTGACTGTGTAACCTAGGCATAGCCAAATACTTTCTCACCCAGAGCAGAAGACAGACTGACTGTAGAGCAACAGAACGGTGTTTGGACAGGCAACCTTAGCTTGATCTTCTGGATGTGGCATACTTGACTAAAATCTAGATAACCTCGGTGTATATATTGGCTTATATTATATTATTTCATACAAAAATAATTAAAAAAAACCTCCCAGGAAGTCTGTAGTGAAAATCTAGTTGCTCTTATTTCACATTCACAGTTGTGCTGTGAGAATTACACAGACATCGTGTCTTTACTCTAGGTTACTTATCACTCCTTTTAAATATCTTTTCTGCTATTCTCCCATTTTCTTTTCTCTCTAACCATATTTTATTCCAGGATCATGGACATTTAGTCTGTGTAAGTGCATAATGAGGACACTGAGACTAAGTGTAATTAAAATCCTTCTAAGTAAAATTATTACATATTCAATTAATAGAAACATACTTAAAATTCTCCCTTGATTTTAATCTGTTGACAGTGGCAGCTGCTGCTTCCAGTGGTCTTTCTGTGCGCATTGACTCTTCCAGTCAGCAGTATTACATCAATAAATGCATATGCCTGTCATGCTCTGATTAAATAACAAAACTAAATTATCTGAATTCTCTCCAGAACCTTCTATGTCATCTGATATAAATTTTATTTTCAATAGTCTGAACTTCAGATAGCTTCACTTAAGGCAAGTGACTTTTGAAATTATTCCTCTACATTTAGGTAGGAAAAAGAATAGATTCTATTTGTATATTGCAGCAAATCCCTCAAGACCAACTACAATTTGTTTTGGAAGTTGTAAACACTTTTAGAGGGAGCATAGTCAAATAGTTAAAACAGACAGTACGCTGCAAGACGCAACCATTTGGTTTTGCTCTGTTTGTCTAGCAATTAGCATACTGAAGACAGAAACTCAGCTGGGATTTCCATTTACTACCATCAGAGAAATCATCATATAAATAGCTAAAATGATGTCACTTTAAAAAGGTACACAAAACAATAATTGAAAATACTGAAAAATAACTCACAATATGAAGAAATACATGACAATACAATAGTAAAATATGAGGAAGCATGGGCACTGCTTTCAATAAAAGGAATGGGAAGTACCTTTGCTATATAGTTTCCAGATTCTATCATGTCAGGTTTACTTGCTTTGGCTCCATTTATTTCTTCTCACAGATATTTTCCTTACCAAAAAATAAAGAAAAAAGCAAAAGTCTGCATAGATAGCACAACAAATTGTATATTAAATTTATAAAATTAAAATAGAAACTATATTACAGAACTGTTGGCAAAAAAAAAGCAATAGTCCCCAGAGTGCCCTTCAGGACTTCAAAAAGGTGAAAAAAGTGCTGATACACTGTCAGTACAGTGTCTGCTTTTTGAGGTTGATCATTTATTCAGTTTGAAAACAAGGAGTATTTTTTTCAAACTTTAAAACACATGGAAACACCACCTGGAGAAAACATAATTTATGAGCAAACCTTATAAAACCTTTGAAGTTTTTGGGCTCCCTCTTGCATTTGGAAATATTGGTGCTACGCACGTACGGCAAGTGTGTTGCCAGCTGTCGAAGACACCCGATACGCAGCATGCTGCGATCTACATACTTCGTATACGTGGCCTGAAATAGGGGTGAAGGAAAGCAGTGGAGAAACACAGTGACCCGACGGATCAGGTTTTAAGACTTTGGCTTAGGGGAACGTGTTTACACACCAAAACTGCACCATTTTATTCTACAGAAGTTAGAAGAGTATGATTAGCTTGTGCCATCCCTGGTGCATCAGTTAAAAGGTGCTCACCTTGTAATAGTTTATTCTCTCATAGAACAGCAGAATAAGCTGTAGCAGTTAGTCCGCCTATAAATGGTGCATGCGAGGAATTGCGCAACGTAGCTCTACTGGAAAAGAAATTGTAACCCTACCACCTCACATTCTTCTCACATTGGTATATCTACGAGTTGACCAAGCCTTAACAGGGGCAGCAGTTTGCCAGGGCTGAGACTCTCCCTGCAGATAACAGAGAAAGGCAAAAGAGTCAAGGAGGAAAAGACTGAAAATACAGTGAAAAGCATCATAACTGACTGAAGTCTTAATAGTTAATACATAAAACAAGCCAATACTTTAAACGAAGGCAGATAATACTCAGTCCAGAAGCAGTCATGAAATCTTTTTCTAATTCAGGAAGTGCTCGAAAGTGGTCGGGGAATTGGAGTGTATATTTTTTATGGTTTAGTGGTGAAAATGATGATACAAATGAAACCACTGAGCAAGAAAGTTCATTTCAGGCTAATGCGCAAACAGAGCTGGAAAAACTCAGGGCTCCATTATCCTATACAGTAATCATGGCATTCATCTCTACCTGATGTAGCACGCTTTTCTAGTAAACAGCCCTACAGATGATGGGCATAGCTATCATTTTTCAATAGTGGAGACGTTGTTCACAAATTTAAACATAATTGTAAAAAATCAGTTTATTAAAGACAAACTTTCTAAGAAGAATGTCATTAATTAGAAATACAGAACTGTCCATCCTGCCTCTGGAGCTCAAGGTTTGTCACTTAAGGTATGTCCCTGTCACTCTTTTGTTCACCCAAGTATACCTTTTACTAAGAGGGAGATGGAATGATAGATAGGAAAATACAATTTTCCTTTTTTGTTAAGTGCTAACCACAACTAAATGAAATAGAGAGTGCAACACACTTCATTTTTGCTGATCTGAACAGCTTCATACGAAGACAGCCAAAAAGAAGGACGGGGCAGGATCTGTCCTCACCTGTGCAGCCCTCATTACTGTCTGTCATGCCCCTGTGCATGTCCCAGCTCTCAGTGAAAATCCCATCCCTTCCCTTCCCTCCACTGACTACATTGTGGCTGCATCAACCTCTAAATGCATTTAAAGCAGCCCATTTACATCAGTGGAAATGTTTGGTTGTCACGGAAGGGAATTTGATTCAAAGGCAACATCCACTCCTCTAAACGTGTCCTCCCCAGGCATCCTCCCAGCCCAGGGGTGCAGGGTGACTCACGTACAGACTGCTCAGGACCAGCAACAGTGGGGGCTGTGCTCATGTGCACAGCACTGATTTCAAATCTCCTCTGTTGCCCTTGCAATCCTAAAACATCACTTTTCCTTTTTTTTTTTCCCCTCCCCCCTGTCTTTTCCATTCCAAGTGCCAAAAAAAATGGGAGGACAGTATTATTGTAACATGATGCTGAGGGCATGTGCTGCGCACCGTGAGGGCACATAGGGGTTGAGATGATCCCCATAGGGGTTGGGACAGCGATGGAGGACTGGGGAGAGAGCAAGGAGCCAAATTTAGTGCAGCCTCATCTCTACTGCCATCTGGAACAGTAACTGTTGTAGAGCCTCCAGACACACCCAGGTTTTCTCCTACAGGGAACCAGCAGCTTTGATCCAAAGAGGAGCTGGGACTGAAGCAACGTGCATGCAGTATGCACAATCGGCCACGGACGCAGGAACGAACCAGAAAACTAAGGCAGATGCACCCTATTGTAGCACCCCCCAGATCCACAGGAAAAATTGGTATCGTCCTATCCTGTCTGTCATCTAACAGAAGAAGACAGCAAACTAATGGGAACTGAAGCTGGAAAAATTCAAACCAAAGCGAGATAAACACTGTAACGGCAAAATTAATTACTCATGGGAAATGATATATTCGCTGTAACTGCATCTGGTCCGACATTATTGAGCTCCTTCTAATAGTAGGAGTGGAGTATAACAGTTTGTGACAGAACAAAGATAAACACCCATCACAGAAGCAGTCCTGAAAATCAATTATTTAACTATATAGGTTTGTATCTGTTTTCTGTGAAATAATATTAGCTATATATGACACTAAATAAGAGGAATTTCTCCACGGTCTGAGAGAAATTCTGCTCTATCACCACTCAAAAAAAGGACATGCTGTTTTTCTCCGAAAATTCCCTCTGCCGATATGCTAATCATATTACTGCTTATCCACAGGGGGAGGAAACCTAATGCAATGAGAGAAACAAGAACCTGTGAGTGTAACACCAGGCGCAGACATACATTCTCATAAACCTCACTTCACATTCAATATAACTGTTCAGTTTTACTGAAAAACAATTCACATCACAATCACAATGAAACTGAAGACTCCTATTGACTTTAATATAACTATCCTGTACTGTCTTAATTTTTTCCAGCAGTGTGAACATATTCAGAGTAACAGAAAAAAAATGTGTGTTATGGTTTCCAGCTGCTGAGTTGAAGCAAAGCTGCAGTTTTTTTTGTTTTTTTTTTAAATAACGGTTCTTTCCAACCTTCAAACAAGCTTTCAATTAGGTTGGGTTAGCAGAGATCAGAAAAGATGAGAATTTTCTTTCAAGTATCCAATCCTTTTCCAGAGCAATTCAAATCCTGCGAGATCTCCTTGTATGTCTTCTAATGCTCACTTGAGCAGTAGTAGCCCCTTATCGAGGATTGAACGCAACGAGCTGTCCCCTGTTGCCAAGATCTTCCATAGCGTACTGCAGGATCAAAGTGTAAAGCTCAGGAAAGAAATATTTAGGTAGCAAACTAGTTCTCTGTCTAATTAAAATGCCTGAAGCCTACACGTGTTAAAACTCAGTTTTCCACAAAATGTCCTTTCTTTCCAGTAACGTTCAATGATGAACACTTCTATGAATATGACTCAGAACTTGTCTACACAAAGGCACTCAGATACCTGCGCTTCTGCCCAAGGATCTACACCAAGTACCACACGGTTCAGCCAGCACATTTACTTCAAACAGCTCCCTCAAGGTGTCCCGCAATAGCTTGCTTTCTATGAATACGGCTGGTCAGAAGTAACCCATCCACCTTCTGATTCTGCTTTTTCTGCTGCAGCTCTAGCTAGTTTTTCTGACAACCAGGTGGTCTTTGTCTTATAAACAACGGGTCACCAACTGAGAAGCCGCAGAGACAAAGCTAGGTATGGAGGGTAGTTACTAGATGTGGTGAAAGTCTTACTAGGATAGGATCCAAATTTATCTGCATATGAGAAACCACAGCTGGATCACTGTTTTTTTGACTAAATGAGAATTCAGCCCTTTGTGCAATTTTTCTCCAGAAACAACAGATTTAGGAGCTCAAGTCTAAAAATCCAAATAAAAAAAAAAAACCCCAAACCAACAACGCACATCCTTAAAGCTACTTCACTGTGTACCATCAGGCCCTGAGTGCACAAACAGGCGCTACAATCTCTTTCCCCTTTGCCCCCCACCCAGGGGTTTGGCTGCCACTCTTCAAGGTCAGCTTTGATATGGTGGCATTGTGTAACTTTGGATCAGACTGCTTTGAAAAGTGGTGTGTGAGAAAGAGCTGCGAGACGTGTTATCTGGGGCCTCTGCCCCTTGGCTCAGGAGCTGCATTTGAGCTCAGGCCCTTGCTATCAGTCCTTGCCTGAGTTGCGTTACAGATACGGCTGTGCCAGGCTATATCCTTTGCTGATCCCATGATTGCCCGGCTGATTTGACTTCCCAGCTTGGCCTCGGACCTGTTTCATCGCTACGGACGTCTCTGTGTAATTTCATTACTGTTGTCTTAATATGAGAGGTCATTCAACAAGCAGTGGAATTAGCGAATCCTGGTCTATTATGGATTCGCATACACTACAATTCCTTCCCTCCACCCCGTGCATCCTCCGCTCAGAAAACACCAGGGCTGCCCTCACTGTGTCTACAAGACCTCACTTGTATTAAAAGCCTGAGTTCCCAACCCACATTACCTCCTCGCCTCCACCATGCTTCCGAATCTCTGACTATGCAAGACTCTGTAGGATGTGACTGCCCTACGAGTGCGCTGACTGGCCACCTGTGCTGAGGGGGTGGCAGGAGATTAACCAGAGCAGGTAACTCTTGCAGGCACACGTCAGCCCTTCCTTCACTGGGGGCACCCATTTGCCCAAAGCTTACAGGAACTTCATATCTTTATAATCCTTTACTCCTCTGCCAAATTTGCATTACATTGGCCAATAGATACAAAAGCTATTGAAGGGAAAGAATGATACAAACAGTAGGAGAGCAGATAAAAAGCATTACTCGAGTGCTACTAATCTGTTAGATTTTAAACATGATTATGTGTTGTCTAGCCATGTAGAAAGGAGGAGAAGTTTCAGAAGTTTATCCCATTAGTGTTCACTAATTATGCAGCCAGGAAATAAGTAGCCAGGTAACTAAGAAACAAATTGACAAGCTGATGTAGAACTAAATAATTCCCACGAAAGGCTCCTTCGGGACTCGCACAGCACTGCTTATACCTCATGGAGGTGATCAGGTAGGTTTGGCAGGATGTTGGTCCTCCAACTCCTGTTGTGCATCTTACACTCAAAAGACTAACACAAAGCACAGGATTACAGGTGGACACGCCAAAATGCCTCCGCGTTGCCACAGGTAAGACATGCGCAGTGAAAAACTCTTCATATTTATCCATCAGAGAAGCGGTAATAATAGAGCCCTTTTCCCCCTCAAACAGCACTGAGATGTAACGTAAACTGTGATCCCCTCTTCTAACGGGGTTTTGTATTCTCACAAACAGATTCTTTGCAA